AAAGGCCCCATTCCAAGGCCATGAGGATTCCCTAGAGGGCCCTGTGAGAGGAACTGTAGATCACTGTGTTCTTCAACAGAGTGTCTTTAAATATTTACTCTGTGACAATCATGTAAATTATAGGACTCTAAAGCCAGTGCCAAATTGAAAATCTGTGGCCCCTCTGAATTATTTATGAGTAAGGGACCTAGGAAGGGAGAGGCAGCCACTGTAGTTTGGGGGGTTCTGGTATTTGCACCAGTGGTTTTTTACTTCTGAGACCTAGGCGGAGACAGAGGTCATGGAGGATTATAGCTATGTGCAAAAAATTGGAAGAGAAGGCAGGATGGCTGCCATCAGTGGGCTCTCTCCTGAAGTTCTTTATGTGAAATTTATCAGCTGCTCTATTCTGCTGTCATAGTTGAGGTTTTCATTTCTATGTTATGCTGTCATTGGGATCCATTGCGGCTCATTGTACAGGCAGGATTATCAGTGCTCTGTATGTTAGTAGGTGATTTGAAGAAAGAGGCACAGACCTGGGACTCCAGACACGTGGGTTCTGCCTGTGTCAGGAGCACGTTCCAGACTCCAGGAAAAGTCACTACATTCCTCTGATTCTGTTTCTGCTTCTGGAACACAAGGGCCTGTCCAAGCTAGACCACTTCATGGGATTTCATTTTCCTATAATAATTTACCGTTCTAAAATGCTGAAGCTGACTTACAAAGAACTGTGCATAGTATACTAGCTTCCTTAACACAATTTCACCATCAGATTACTGAATGAGAAAATGTATTATGAAAACATCCAGCAGAAGATCTGGCACATTGGGGAATTACTAACTACAGGAGCAGTCAATCATTTCACCAGCGAGATGGGAGACCAGATGTACTCTCGCCTCCTAGATTAAAACCCTAAAAGAATGACACAAATCCAGGAAATGTGCTAAAATGAAGGGCAATAAATTCATAGCAGAGGAACTAGGATACAGAAAGCAAATATGAGAGCACTGTTTTTAATCTTTCAGCAATGACTGTCATGGTTTAAGGTAAGGAAAAGTATTTATGCCACTTGATCAAATAAAGATCCAACCTTGGTATTTTAACATTTTATTATTGAGCTCCCCACAGAAACAGCAGTGTTCTTTTGGCAGCTTTTCACTGCAGAATGAACAGAACAGAGGCCTTCAGCCTCCAGCCTTGTATCTTTCCCACTGTATGGCTATAGTCTTCGGAAAACCAGACATGTGTGCTGAAGAAAGATGTATGATATGCTGGCAGGGAAATGATTGTAGTGTCTGCAGACCAAGGTCTGAATCTCAGCTGTGTCACAGCTGTTAGTCTATAGGAAGATTTCCTAAATATTTGTGCTGCAGATACTGCTTCTGTAAACAGGCATAATATTTCTGATGTGACATAGTTGCTCTATCAGAATTTATACAAACAGTCTAATGTCCTAAACAACATACAGTACATGGCTACAGGCTAATTTTTGTGTATTTCTGGCTACTAACCCTTTCTTTCTGCTCACAAGTATGAAAGGACTTAGAGTTTGAGATTTCCCTCTCCTCCTTTTTACCTTTCATTTACCTCCTTTACATTTTCATACTCCTGAAAATTTAATTAATCCTCTTTTTGTGCATGGTGAGGATAACTAAGATCTAATTTCTCAGCAAATGTTTTAGTATGCAAAACGTTATTAACTATAGTTGCCATGCTATACATCTGGTTTCCAGAACTTATTTATATATTTACTTATGTGTGTATTTATTTTTTGAGAGAGATGAGGTCTCACTCTGTTGGCCAGGCTGGAATGCAGTGGTCCAGTCATGGTTTACCACAGCCTCAAAATCCTGGGCTCAAGCAGTCCTCCCACCTCAGCCTTTCAAGTAGCTGGGACGACAATTGCATGCCACCATGCCCTGATAAGTAAAACAATTTGTTTGGTAGAAATGGGGGATCTCCATGTTGTCCAGGCTGGCCTCAAACTCCTGGGCTTAAGCAATCTTCCTTCCTTGGCCTCCCAAAGGGCTGAGATTACAGGTGTGAGCTACCATGCCCAGCCTTTATCTTATGTCTGGAATTTTGTATCCTTTGACTAACATCTCCCCATTGCCTCTTTCCCTGGCCCCTGGTGACAGCCTTCTGCTCTCCCTTTCTGTGAATTTGATTTTTAAAAGTTCTACATATAAATGAGATTTTGCAGTGTTTGCCTTTCTTTGACTGGCTTATTTCACTTAACATAATGTCCTTCATGTTCATTCATGTTGTCTCAAAGACAGAATTTCCTTCTCTTTTGAAGCTGAGTAATGTTCCATTATGTGCATGAATATCTGTCTATCTTATATTTTCTGTATCCATTCATTTATCAAGGGACACCGGTTATTTTCATATCTTGGCTGTTGTGAATAATGCTGCAATGAACATGGGCCTGCAGATATCCCTTCAAGATAGTATTTTATTTTACTTTATTTTTTGACATATATCCAGAAATGGGTTTGCTAGAGCGTATGGTAGACCTATTTTTAATTTTTTGAGACACCCCATACTGTTTTCTGTAATGGCTGTACTAATTTACATTCCCACCAGCAGGATAAAAATTGTGATAATAATTTTGTAATGTATACATATATCAAAACATTACATTGTACACCTTAAATGTACGCAATTTTTATTTATCAATTATACTTGAATACAGCTGGAAACAAAACGAACAAAATGAAAGCAATAATAATTGAAAACAAAGGAAATTTAATTCAGCGTTGGACAGACATGAGGCAGGAGTTGGGTGTCAGCAGGGCTGGACAGGAAGCATAAGGAAATGATGACGCATGCCTGCAGCCATAGAGTTTGGGGAAACGATAACAATCCAGCTTCTCAAATGGGAGCAGTGGGAGAATACAAAGATTGGATTTAACTTTAAAGGAGATCTGTGTCTAGGTAAAGAATATGGGCTCTATTTTTCTATTTCTTTCTGGAAGTTCTCTAGACTTTCTGGGTGAGGGGATTCATGAGTGTGTGGAGAAGCGAGCTGAGCAGGCATGCACATGTTTGTGAGTGAGGCCTGGCACAGCGAGGATGGAGTTCAGGTGAAAGTAACAGGACTCGGCAACTTCTTGGACGTGTGGGGTTAAGAAGAGCAGGGAGATGGGAGGACTTAGTGTTTTCTGAGCCTGGGTGACTGGGAAGATGATGGGGATATTTGCCCCAGAGTGTGTGTGTGTGTGTATGTGTGTGTGTGTATTTAGGTTAAACAATTTCAGTATTCTACTGTGTTCCTCAAATAATGTAATTCCAAGACATGTACTTAGCTAACCACATTTCTCAGGATCCTCTTAATCTAGAATGTTCTCATTCTTTTGTAGAATCTGGAAGAGCACACAACATTGCAAATATGCTTCCACCATCCACAGCACCAGTGGGGCACGGGCCATACTTTGGCAGGATCTGATACTTTATAAACACTATCTAATGTCACTTGACTTTTTCCAACCCCCTGACAAGGTTGGTTGACATTGGGCTGCACATGAAGTGAGAAGCTGCCTGTGAGTCAACACTTTAGCTAGGAAGGACAGGACTGGTGGGCCCCATGAGAAGTAGGCTAGAAGTCAAGCTTGGTGAAAGAAAGACACATAGGAGAAAGACTGGTGGGTGTTACTGGTCCAGACAGGTGAGGGTTCAAGACCATAATTCAGTTCATGATGAATGTGGTAAGTCCAGGATCCAGCAGACGATGCAGCAGGTGTCAGGCACACACACTGTGAGCCTGGACCGGAATATCTGGGCAGTATTAATTTATAATCAAAAAAATTATTCTGGAAAACTGTACAGTGGATTTGCTGAACCAATAGCTCCTACTGTTGTTGCTTCTATGAGCCAGAACTTGCCTTAGTGTGTAGCTGAGTCCCCAGTGGAAGGAAAAAAAGGCTGGCATAGCTGGGGAGAAGAGCAGGTGGCAAAGGGACAGAAGTCCAGATGCTTGGTGGCAAAACTGTTGGAATTTTGGAGCACTGTAGCCTGTTCCAACTCTGTACCTTTTATGTATGTTTACTTATACCCCATGATGTTTCAGTAAGAATTTAATATGCTCTCATAAGGCAATGCAAAATACCAATGATAAGATAAATTAAAATGCAGGTGATAGGATAAATTAAAATACAGATGATAAGGTAAATTAAAGGTGAGCCAAAAGAAAAATAAGCAAAATCTAGGACTGGCAAAATGAAATGGAGCAAGGATTTGTGCCTTTGGTAATGGCCTCCACATACAAGCCACACATTTGACTCCAATCACTGACACAACCAATTAGGAAAAGGAAACCTGATTACTCTCACAGTCCACAATGTCCAAGATAAAACACGAACCGATTTTATTTATGGAATTCTTCTTAACACAATATTGACTAGAATTCTCTAGGGAAGCACTATCCCACTCGGTGATATTATAAACAGCTCTTATAATAAAATCCTTTTAATTGATAAGCTGATGGCAATTTCTTCATTTTGGCTGCTGGCATCACACACATGCACAAGCCCAAGAAAGCAAGCAAAGTGAAACAAAACAAACAACTCCTAAACCAAAATTGGTTCAATGGAACAGTTCAGTTTTCTATCTATCTAGACCTGGCTTCATCTAGAAGTGAATATTGATCTGATACATATGAAATAGTCTTATTTGCGTATTGTTACTTAGCCTGAGTAAGTTTCCTCTCTGCAAACATAGGCTATGGATACTTATGAGGATTAGACAATAAAATGTGAGAACCTGTAAACACAGTGCCTGTCATGTAAAGCATGAACAAGTCATACTGGTTATGTTTGACAACAACATCAGTGACAGAAATCCCAGCACATATTTGCTGAATTTCACAGTGCCATTTGCCATTCTTTTCTGCTAATCGGCCGGGGCATGGGCAAAGCAAGCAGGATACATCGTGATGGCACAGGGAATCTGCGTAGCCTGTAGATGAGCCGCGATTCACCATGAGCAGGCTGAAGGCTTACTTTTCAATTTGTCTTTCACAGGAATAACACTCTACAGCCACCCATATGGAGGGGCCTTGCTGAATGAGGACAGGATGTGAGTTGACGGAATGCTGAGGGGTGTGTCACTCTGACTATGGAAGAAAATCTGTGGGTTACTTAGGGATGACTTTGGTCTCTCTTTTGTATTTGCCCCAAGAGATGGCTTATAGAGTTAGTAAGAAATGCCCACAGGACTTGAGCATTTCTTTGCAAAGTGTGAGAAAAATGACTATTAAGAGAGGCGGTGCATTGACTGAGCTTAAAACAGATGATTATGTCATGCAACTGTACTTCTAAGCAGAAATTATTCTAAGGGAATGATTTACCAGAAGCTTATGTGGCTGTACACCTTCCAAAGAGTTTTTGGGGTTAAAATCACAAACATTGTATTCATGTAGGTCAACATAGTAATGCCTCCTTGAATATTTCTCATGCAAGATTTTCCTCAAGATCCAGATGGAGACATGGGCGGGGATAAGGCCAGAGCTCTTCAGGTACAGAATTCTGTGCCAGTTCTCACTGTCTTTGTAAAGGGTAGCACACTTCCACCTGTCTTCTCTCTTTCTCCCCCATTTCCCTTCTCTGTGATATGGTTGACAAACTGTTAATTAAAAGTCAATAATAAAAATAGGTATTTAAAAATACTTTAAAATAATTTAAAATACCTACCAAATTAAGTTGGAGAATGCAAATCTGCTTAATGGGCATTCTCTGCTCAAGTTGTTAATCTGGCAGGAACTGGCAGGAAGCATGGGTTGGGTTGCAGCTTGTCCTCACATTCCCATAATGATTTTCAGGATTCTAGCTTTAACAGTGTCTGACACCTTCCAGAATTCCAAGAGTAGGCTAGCTGACGTCTGTTGTAGAGTGCGACACAATGGAGCAGAAGGCATGGCACAGCAGATGACTTGTGCTGAGGAGTTCCATCGTGTCGGCCTCCTGAAAGACCATCTGTGGTCTGATTGTTCCTAAAGAAGGGAGGGGTTGAGAGGAGGCAGCAATTGACTTGAGTGAAAGTAGTAGTGCTCCAGGTAAAACCATTACTAAGAAAATGTACAGTGTATATTATTACAAAGCACCTCAATCTATTGCAAAATCTCTTTGGCATTTCATGTGACTAAATTCAGAGATGGGCCAGTAGTACAGTGTGGAGCTGTAGTGAAGGCTCCTCTCTGGCAGATGCTACTGCATTGCAAAGCAGTCCCCGTGTGGGAAAAGGTCACAGCTTACCCGGATGCTGCTCAGAGGATATCTTTCATCTTAATTGGGAGTCAGGCTCAATGGTGAAGAGCAGATTTTGACACAAGAAAGCTCTGAAATGCCCTCAAACTGTGCTCCTCAGTTATGTCTTCTGTAAACTGAGCTTAGTCATCCATGTCTCAAAAGGTGGCTGAGGGGACTTAATGAGGGAATCCATGCCCTTAGTCAACATGCCTGGCTGATTATGAATTTTTAATTAGCAGTTTTCACTGCTGTCATCATTGCTGATTGTTATTAGCAAAGAAGGCTTGTGTTCTTCGTCTGGAGCCTGAGAGCTGCTCTGTTCTGCCCGCAGCCTGGAGAGCATCCGTCAGTGTGGAGTGGCCCTCTGCATCGTGCTGGGATTCTCCATCCTGTCTGCATCCGTCGGCAGCTCCGTGGTGAGGGACAGAGTGATTGGAGCCAAAAGGTTGCAGCACATAAGTGGCCTTGGCTACAGAATGTACTGGTTCACAAACTTCCTATATGACATGGTATGATTTGGGAATGAGATTTTGTGTGCTTCCACAATAGTGATCTAAGTCGTGTGTGTGTATGGAGGGATGGAGGGGAGTGTGGGGCCCTGGCTGCCTCGGAGTGTCCACAAAAAGGGGTCATGTTATTGATAAGAGCATTTCAGATTAAGTTACCTTTACTGATCACCATAGAATTGGTTCCTAATGGGAAGACTGACAAGCTTCAGGCTGGAGAACTTGGAAATTATAGAACTTCACAAAGATGCAAAGTTTCTTCCTGAGGAGATGAGGAGATAATCACCTTTACTATGCTTTTCTCAACGGGGTAGTAGGTGAGATGATAAAAATCACTAGAAATGATCTTTCATCTGCATGCCTAACACCCGCTTCTGTGAGACCTGTGCCTCATTGCCTAATAGGTATGGCAGGTATTACTAGCATTTCTGGAATGCACTCAGTTCCCCAGTGGAAACCCTCCAGATCAGCGTCTCTAGTCCTTAGGGACAATAATGGATGCTTTGTCTAGGTGTTCCCTATTCTTCAGGACATTTATCCTAACTAAAAAAAAATGCATCTTATATGATAAGTTGTTCTTAGTGGTCAATATCTACTGTTATTGTTATCTGGTGGAGCTGTCTTTATTTTGTAGGAAATTGATGTCCTTGCCCTCATACATATGATTCATCCTGTGATACAGAAAGTCATATGTAAGTCAGTGGAAGGCTGGAGGGCTACCATTTACTGAGCACCTTCCACACACCAGGTGCTGTCCGAGCTGTGCTACACTCTGCACAAAATTCCACATATTAACATGTTGCTTTCCTGTAAGGTTTATTTCTTTGAGCTGGCTTAGAATTTAGCTAATTTATTTCCTTTTGATGGTGTAACTTGGATTTTTGTTTTGTTTTGTTTTGTTTTGAAAGTACACTTTATAGGGATCACACCTAAGTTACCGAACATTTCAGGAGTTCATTTAATTTAATCAGAAGTTTCCCTGAACCTGCCTGGTGATAGATATCACCTGGGACATTTGGTAACAATAAGGATTCCCAAGGGCCTATCCTTCAAGATTCTATTCAATAGGACTAGGGGGACTTGGAGGTCTGTGTTTTACTAGGTACTCAAGGTGATTTATGAATCTTAACCAAGATTGACAAATTATGGGTCTTTAAATCCTTATATTTACTGAGGGACACTTAAAGGCAGGTAAGTGGAAGTGACTTGTACGAGGTTTTACTTCTAGTTGGTACAGAGATGGCTTCTCAGTGCCAGCCTCTGTCTCCTGGTCCAGTTTTGTTCACAATGCTACACACTGCTGCTGGCTACTTGACTCTCTTCCATCTGTCATTTAACAGTGTCTAAGGGCCACAACTTTCCCAGGGAACAGGGAAGAAGGGTGTGGCAAGAGAGAATCACAACACACAGGGGGCCATGCTTATAGGACACCATGGGGCTTTCCAAGTCTCCAAAACCCCAGGATCTTGCTTCCTTTCTGCATCCTTAGTTTATTATCTCTTTATGCCTCCCAGTCAGTCTGGCTTTTCTTTACTCTGTGATGTTTGACCTTGGGGATTAAGGACAGAGAAGGTTCTTTGCTTCTTGTTTGGATGGTTTCCATCTTCATCCAATCATTCTCTGCTTATTCTATTCAATCATTGATTTAATAAAATTTTTGAGGATCTGTTGTGGGTCAAGGTGTGTACAAGGTTGCTATGGACTAAATGATTATGTCCCCCCAAATTTCATATGTTGATCACCCCAGTGTGATGGTATTTGGAGGTGGGATCTTGGAGAGGTAATTAGGTTCTGAGGGTGGAGCCCTCCTGAATGGGATTAGTGCCCTTGTAAAAAAGGCCTCAGAGAGTTCTGTGTGAGAACACAGTGAGAAGTCACAGTTTGAACCAGGAAACCAGCCTTTGCCAGACACTGAATCTGCCAACATCTTGATTCTGGTCTTTCCACCCTCCAGAACTGTGAGTAATAAAGTTGTGTGGTTTATAAGACACTTGGTCTATGTTATTCTATCACAGCCCCACAAACGGTGTTGGGCATAAAACCATGCATAAAACAGAGAAGATTGCTCCCCTCAAAGAGATTTTCATGAGAGGAAGCAGAAAACAAGCAAGTAAACAAACAAATAAATAAATGCACAAGATACAGTTGGCCCATGACTGGGTCTATTGACAGAATGAAAGAGAATGACGGGATGGAGAATGACTTCAAATGTGGAGGTCAAACAAGACAGTGAAACTTAAGCTGAGATCTGTGAGGTAAGAAGGGGCCCTCCCCATGGATGACATGCAGGAAGAGCTCTGCAACTTGAGGCTCTAAGAGAAGAAGGAGCCAGTTGTGTGACAGCCCCAAAGAAAGCCATGACTCTTGTTGGCCTGTGGGGAGCACCTTAAGGTGAGGCTGGATAGAGAGGTAGTGTGAGGAGTCTGTCCTTGGTTCTACATGTGTGGGAGGAGGCTGTGTTTCCTGAAAGCTGATTGGATTCCTTGACCCTCCTCAAAGGAGATGGGTATGCATGACAGTAGTAGTCTCCTCAGGCTGTCATAACAAAATACCACAGGCTGGGTGCCTTCACCAGGGAAACTTGATTCTCTCGTCGTCCTGGAGGCTAGAAGTCTGAGATCAAGGTGTTGGCAGGGTTGGTTTCTTCTGAGGCTTCTCTCCTTGGCTTGTAGACAGCCATCCTCTCCCTGTGTCCTCACATGGTCAGCCCTCTGTGAGTGACTACATCCTGATCTCTTCTAGGGACACCAGTCATGTTGGATGAGGGCTCACCCAATTGACTTCATTTTACCTTAATCACTTGTTTAAAGCCCTGTCTCCAAATACAGTCACATCTCGAAATACTGGGGGTTCAACATATGAATTTTGGGGGGATACAACTCAGGTTATAATAAGTGACTTTCCAGGACTAATTCCATGGCTACAGAACCCCTAATGTGCAAAATAGGAAATATATTTGTGAAGTTGAAAGGAAACTTCAGGATAAGTATATGATAATCAATATGACCATCTGATGTAACAGCTCTCCTTTATTTCTTTTTATTTTCTCAGCTCTTTTACTTGGTTTCCGTCTGCCTGTGTGTTGCTGTTATTGTCGCCTTCCAGTTAACAGCTTTTACTTTCCGCGAAAACTTGGCAGCCACGGCCCTCCTGCTGTCACTTTTCGGGTATGTGATGAGAAACGCTGCTGCAGAATTACGGTTTGTTTTCTGAAAAAGAAAACCCTCAGGATGGCTTTGAACCTGCTGTCGACTTCATGATTTCCTCTCTTTTGAAGCAATTATGTTGCTTCTGCAAGGGACACGGAGCAAACAAGCCTGAGTAGGATGATGAATGCCCTGTGGAGGAAGGAAGGGCTGACCTGGTCGTGATGAAGACAGCTCTGCCCTGTCTCAGACAGACCCTCAAGCTGTTTGACAAACTTGTGCAGCTGGAAATGGATTCTCTATTATTCTCACTTTGACATTAATCAGGGGCTCAAATACATAATCCAGTTAGCTGGGAGATTGCATTTGTGGAGGTTCTCTCAGTAAGCTGTCTGGCGTTTTTTTCTCCTCTCCTATAATATTAGTAGTTTGAAAATGTTTTGTCTAATTTCTATCACTTTTTTTCTCAGATGAAAAAATAGCAAATGGAGAAAAGTCATTTTATGAATTTCTGATTTATGCATACTAGTCAGGATCATTGCTAGTGGCCTCAAAATTATATCTACTTGGTATCAGGATATATACGTCTTCTTATGTGTCATGCATGTGTGCTTATATACAGGCTAACTACATAAGAGATACTTAGTAGGGAAAATAATTATCATACTAATTTATTATAATTCAAGGCTATTTTAAAAGATAAAACAACTTGCTTTTATTTAAGAAGATTGCAAATAAAATGATATTTACAGTTTGTATTTATATAAGTGGCCTAGAATTATTCAAAACGTCTAATTAGAGACAGAGTTTTACTTAAACAAATATGTACTACTACTAGATGAATGTGTAGGTGGATGGGTGGATGGATGGAAGTAGGTAGATAAGAGAGAGAGAGAAAGAGAGATAGAGGGAGAAAGATTAAGAGAGAGAGGGAAAGAGAGATTAAGAGAGAGAGGGAAAGAGAGATTAAGAGAGAGAGGGAGAGAGAGATTGAGAGAGAGAGAAACAAGACAGACAGACAAACTTTTGGGGGAACATTGATATTACTACTCACTAATGCCAATTCTGTGGCTTTGGTAATACTAATTATTCTGTCTAATGCTCAGTTTTTTCTCTATAAAACTTCATGTCTTTTGCTATAAAGATTAAATTAAATAGTTTATGCAAATATCATGGACAATGACTGGTACAAAGTACTCATTAAATTAATTTTAGCCATTATTGTTACTCTTTAGAATTATTTTACTCTTTAGAAGATGTAATATCCTAAGCTATAAAGCATGCTTATAGTAGACATATGTTTATTATATTTAACTAGAAATTTATGGACTTGTGTATAAAGATCTATATGTGTGTGTACCCAGCTCTAAGAACACAATTTGATTTCAGTTTATTGATCCAATTGAATGGATAGTGTTGTCATGTCTCCCTCTAGTTCGAGTAAAATAAACTTTGCTATAAAATTATTTTTTGAATTTTAGGAGAGTATATCTCAAAAACTGAGTTAAAACTTAGATGAAATGGTTAGAAAGCCTTAAAAACATGCTTTTAGAATTTTTTATTAATGTTGTTTTGATTTTGAAACCCTTTACGAATTTGAATTTGAATACCTTCATTTAAAAAAAAAGAATTTGAATTAAACTAAGAATTCTCTTCACATACATAACTACCACATTTTTCAAAGAATTTCTGGAGATTCACAGGTCTGTTAAAGCACAATCATAGGCAATAGGGGTTACACACTTCTGGTTAAGAACTCTTAGGTTTCAGGGACTGGAAAGATGTCAAAGATAACTCAGACTGTATTTGTGGTCACAGCTAATTCCAGGGAAGAAGAGCCCCCAAGGGAAGTCAATCAGGGTCACCGGGTGACATCCATGGGGATGCAGATTTAGAAGGTAGCTCTTTCTTCATGGAGCACAGCCAGTGGAACTGGTGACCCCCCGCTGTAACAGGAGGGGCAGTGAGAGACCTGGTCTGGGGAACCACTGTCTCCTGTGTGCCTGGCAATCTCTGGGTGAGGATAGCAGAAATGGCTCACGCCTGTTGTCCCTCTAAGGATCTGTGGGTACAGGGAGCCCAAGGGCAAACTCAGGAAAGCTGAATCCCGAACTGAAACCTAAGAGCAAGTCCAGGCATTAATGGCTGCTTAAAGGCAGGAATCTGAAAATCTACTCATCTGACAAAGGGCTAATATCCAGAACCTACAAAGAACTCAAACAAATTTACAAGAAAATAACAAACAACCCCATCACAAAGTGGGCAAAGGATATGAACAGACATTTCTCAAAAGAAGAGATGCATACAGCCAACAGACACATGAAAAAATGCTCGTCATCACTGGCCATCAGATAAATGCAAATCAAAACCACAATGAGATACCATCTCACACCAGTTAGAATAGCAATCTTTAAAAAATCAGGAAACAACAGGTGCTGGAGAGGATGTGGAGAAATAGGAACACTTTTACACTGTTGGTGGGATTGTAAACTAGTTCAACCATTGTGGAAAACAGTATGGCGATTCCTCAAGGATCTAGAACTAGAAATACCATATGACCCAGCCATCCCATTACTGGGTATATACCCAAAGGATTATAAATCATGCTGCTATAAAGACACATGCACACATATGTTCATTGCAGCACTATTCACAATAGCAAAGACTTGGAATCAACCCAAATGTCCATCAGTGACAGACTGGATTAAGAAAATGTGGCACATATACACCATGGAATACTATGCAGCCATAAAAAAGGATGAGTTTGTGTCCTTTGTAGGGACATGGATGCAGCTGGAAACCATCATTCTTAGCAAACTATCACAAGAACAGAAAACCAAACACCACATGTTTTCACTCATAGGTGGAACTGAACAATGAGATCACTTGGACTTGGGAAGGGGAACATCACACACCGGGGCCTATTGTGGGGAGGGGAGAGTGGGGAGGGATTGCACTGGGAGTTATACCTGATGTAAATGACGAGTTGATGGGTGCTGACGGGTTAATGGGTGCAGCACACCAACATGGCACAAGTATACATATGAAACAAACCTGCACGCTATGCACATGTACCCTAGAACTTAAAGTATGATAATAATAATAAAAAAAAAAGAATAAGGGATAGTATACATGAATTGATTCTTTTAAGAGATAACAAGACAAATATGCCCAATAGCAGTTTTATTGTTTTTCTTCTTTCTATCAAGGACAGTTTGTTATTTAAACTACAAAAGGGAGAGTCAGAGATAATTAGCATCCAAAAGAGGGAAGTAACATCTGAAATGAATGAAAGAAAACAGAGCCTAGCTTACATAAAAATTGAAACCTTAAGAACACATTTGATGTATATTTAGTGCCAAAAGATGAGATTACAGAATCCTGTTTGGTCTCTTGGGAAATTCACAGAGCATGGGGAAGTGGCTGATTTTCAAAAGGGGAATTTTCTTCCCCCATAAATTCCATGATGTTGTGAAGAGTAGGTCAATCTCTAGCAAATTTTAAAATCATTAAAATGATATTATATTTTAATAAAAGCCTGGAGATTATTGAAATTCACTGTAATTTTCACAAAAAAATAAATTATGCTCTCTAAGCCAATTTCATTTTTTTCTTACAAGAAAGGAGACTGGAACTGCGAATATGTTCATTTGAGCCAAGCATTTGAAAGATAACTAATGAAAATGTAGTAAAAAAAGTGATGGAATCGTAGCCAGTTGAAAACCACACTGAAAGACTCTTCATTCATCTAGCAACAGGAACTCTTGTGTGACTTCATTTAGGACTATATCTCTGATTCTTTGTTTTTCTTAAATAATGCTTTGATCCACTTGTCAAATATTTAAATGACATAACCCAGCATGGAAACCTTATGTAATAAATAACAAAGTACAGATGCTGAACCATCTAGAGCCTAGTGTTGAGGTGCTAATTAGTCCCTCAAGTGCAGATTGGGTATGCGGGCTCCACAGCAAGACAGGGAGGCTGCTGCACCCTTAGATTGTATTGCTGAATGTGGAGATGCTGATCAAAGCAGATGATAATCTTGCTGTGTGTTGTGCCAGGCCAACCACATCATGTTCTCTGTGAGGTGGCCTTACCTAAACTCCCCTAAGTTCCACAATGCAAAATTTAACAGAGAGAGCTGGTTGAATATCGTGTTGTTAAAGGAGCAGAGAAAGACCCAGCCTTTTGTAGTGGAGGTTTAAGCGGAATAACATGGCTATCCTCAGCTATTTAAAGGACTGTCACATGGAAAAGAAAAGCAATTTGTCACATGTTGTTCCAGAATGTAGAGTTAGAATCGGTAGTTATAAGTTGGAGAGGGTTTTCATTCACTCTTAGAATGAATTTTATGGCAGTTACAGCTGCCCCGAAATTTGGCTCACAAACTTCTACTACTGCTTATGTTTTCATTGCAAAATTACTTGCAATTCTATGATTTCATTTGATTCTCAAAACAGTCGCATGACAGAGTGTAGCACCTGATTTTTGTCTCAGAAGGGACAATAAAGGAAAGAGGGGAGGTGTGTGGCGTGGGTGAATATGTGTTGGGTTTTGAATTCTGTCTGTGGTAGTTTATTTCAGACAGAGGTGTTGATAATATACAGCCCTAAGAAGTCATGACTTACCTCTCTGGTAATTATTTTGATTTAATTAGTTGATTATCTTATGCAGCAACTGCTTTAGAACAGCTCTTGCCTCCATTTTGTGCTTTGAAAGAATTATCTTCATGCCCACATTTTGAAGCAGATTGCTATCAAGTAGAGTGTCTAAAACACTATATGATTTTATATATCATATTATATATATCTAATGAACTATGAGAATGTATCTTTTAACCCAGGAAAGCATTCCAATATCATAGATATCATATGAAAGGGAGTGTATACTAGACTAAGAGTTAACTTGAAGGCCTGGAATCTCTTATATCATTTTGAAGTCTCATGCTTTTCAGAACTTGTTAACATATTAAGAAAATCTCAGACATTTTGCAGGCACTGAAATGTTTCAGGTTAAGCCAATTATTCACCATAAGAAAACAGTGATACATTTACCTTGAGTGAGCAGAGAAGTTGTTGGAGCTCCAGATACATGAGAATCTTTCGGGAAAGTTGTGATTCAAAATCAGTGACTTCTCTGCTGATATTAGAAACCATCATTCAAAGTGTGTTTCCTTTATTGGGTGCAGTGGTATTATTTCAGGAAGGAGCTGAGGGAAATTGCCATGAGTGAAACCTGGCTCTAGAATGGAGGAGACAGAATGAAGAAAATGAAATGTTTTCCTTTTAGGGACGTTTGGGTGGTATCTTAGATCCTGATGTCATCTGACACATGTGGGGACTGCTTCTAGGGTTCAATATTTAGCAATGCTTCTTACTCCCCGGTTTTGTGGCCACATGGAAATGAACCCCATGTTCAGCTTCACCTACTTGTCACCTGCAAAGCTCGATCAAGTGTCTGAACTCTGCAAATCCCCATTATTTTGCCTGTGAGATGATGGTTACAGTGCTGTCTCCTGGGTTGCTGGGGGCTAAAGGAAGAATAGGGCACACTGAGGAGTTACAGATGGTACCTCTGTGCAATGGATGCTGGAAGAAGGCTTTCAGTATTTATTTTTAGGCCTCATTTTTTTATGTAGCTCTGCAGCTTTTTATATTCTTGATATCTTTTAATTCTCAATATAACAACTAAGTATTATTCCTGCCTTCCTGACGAGAAGCAGAGCAAAGAAGCTCCTTTTGGGGAAGAAAAGTTGGAGAAGTCAGCTGACTTTCTCCAGGCCACAGAGCCAACGAGTTCAGGCCCATGTACAGCCCGTGTGTTGTGACCCCATCCTGTGTTCTTTCTATTGCATTGCAGAGTCCTCTGAAGCCCCAGGAAGAGTGTGTTGTCTTCGAAAAATACCATGGAATGTATTTATGTAAAGTTCATTTCTGTTCACCAAGTGAGGAAAAATCGCTGGGCCAATAAAATTGCATCTATAATTCAGTCTTATGGCTGTCCCCTTATCTGCATTTTTGTTTTCAGAGAATTCAGTTACCCACAGTCAACTGTGGTCTCAAGATATTAAATGGAAAATTCCAGAAATAAACAATTAATCGGTTTTAAAGGGCACAATGTTCTGAGTAGCATGATGAAATCTTGTACTGTCCTGCTCTGTCCTGGCAGGGACGTGAATTTCCCCTTTGTCCAGCACATCCTCACTTCAGATCTGGGAGTCAGTGAGTTACCAAATTGACTGTCGCAGCCTGGCAGTGCTTGTGTTCAGGAGACCCTTGTTTTACTAGATGGCCCCAAAGTGCTAGAGTAGGCATGCTGGCATATTACTGTAATTGTTCTATTTTATATTAGTCATTGTTCTTACTCTCTCACTGTGCCTAATTTATAAATCAAAACTTATCATAGGTTGCATGTATGGGGAAAAGCATAGTGTATAAGGTTCAGTAATATCTGCATTTTCAGGGATTCACCCCAAGGTCTTAAAATGTATCTGCCATAGATAAGAGAAAACTACTATAAATATTACACTAAAACAAACATGACTTTTTACTTTACTTTTCAGATATGCAACTCTTCCGTGGATGTACCTGATGTCCAGAATCTTCTCCAGTTCAGACGTGGCTTTCATTTCCTATGTCTCACTAAACTTCATCTTTGGCCTTTGTACCATGCTCATTACCGTCATGCCCCGGTTGCTAGCCATCATCTCCAAAGCTAAGGTCAGTAGCTTTGTAGCATCACCTCTACACTTCTGCACCTCTAGTGCAAAGACGGTGTTAACTCATGTCTCTTGTTGCTTTTCCAACTGGAATTCAATGGAAATGCATTGGTATCCACTGTCTTTAAACTCCAGAAAGATAAATTGATTCTAATTAACAAAAAACATGTTGCCATTATAAAAGCCATTATAAAAAGGCTTAGCAACAATTGGTTAAAAGATGTGCTGTTTCAGCCACTCCATTCTTGAAGGTAGAGTCATGAAGATGTTCACTGCCATATCCCCAGCATTTTCATCAGAGACTGTTGATGAATTACTGATGAATGGCGGAACAGTGAGTCATTGAAACACGCCCTCTCAATGTTCACTATTGTTAGGGTCAGACTCTACAAGGTAGGATGGGCCATACCACAGCTGATCATGCCCTCAGGGCACAGCACGTCTGAATGATGATCTGGGGGATTCTGCCCTCTTCTCTGTGATTTCTGGAACAAATTTAATTTTGCTATTTTCCAAGTGTGGCAGCCAAGGGTTTTCCTGAGCATAAGGCCCATGGTCAGGAAGAATTTCTCCTTGTGAGATCAGCGCCACTCTCCAATAGGCCGTTCCGATTGGCAAGTCATTTCTTAAGTGTCATCTCCAGCAGGTGTCTAGGTCAAGCTGAACCCATTCGTCCTGCCACATTCCTTTCACTCCTGTCTCCTCCCTTAGTGAGGCCTACCTGGGTCTTTGCCTCTGCTTTAATACATCTTTCAGCCCCTCAGCATCCCCGGTGCTACCTGGAGGTAAGGAGTTCAGATTTTGCACTGTCCTCTGTCCCCCTTATTGCAATCCTTTTCATTCTGTTTTCTTTTCTCAGCTCTGGCCACACTGTTCTCTCCTGATTCCTTGCTGTTTATATGGAGTCTGATTCCTCAGTAGTTCCCAAATGTTTGGCCAACTCAGAGGCTGAGAAAATGACCTGGAAAAGCTACTGAGCTCCTAGTTTTGAAGCATGTGCTGCAGTTCTCATTTAAAATCAAACAGGGGCTGATGCCTGTTTAATTGGGATGAGTCTACTTCCTCATGGCTGCGCTTTCAGAGACTTAGTAGATTTGCCAATGATAGCTAACATTAGTTTTTATTATTGTGCTTCCTATTTTGATAGAAGCAGTGAACTCTGTAAACATCGATTATGCATTCAGTGAAGGTAATAATCTACTTTGGTGATTTTTTACAGATTTATTATTGACACTGATTTGTATTAATATGTCTACACTTTAAAGAGAAAACTTGCAGAACAATTAATTGGCTTTAGCTTGAGAAGAAAATCGAAATCAGTAGAGATAGTGTACAATTTTCCTCCTCCCTCATCAGATCTCTAACATGACATGAAACATGAGGATGTCAACCATGAACCATGGTGAAACTGAAAAGAGACTCATAGTAGATATTCCTAGGGCTGAGGAACTTGGAAGCAGAGAGCTGCCCTGGGGAGTGGAGTCACAGAAGTGAGATTTAGCTCCAAAAGAAAAAGGAAGGAGAATTGTCCATATCCAAAGAGGCAGCGGACCAGGAACCTTTCCACTCATGAGGTTCTACCCATGTGGCAAGTGGAAAGGCATTGTTACTTTTATTTATAAACAGCATTGCTTACTTGTAAAAAAAAATCAACAGCAATGAGGTGTTTGCCGAAAATGGATGTACATCAGTTGGTAAAAAATAATAAAAAGCAGCTTATTGCTTTTGTTTGGGTCTTTCTTTTCCTTTGCTCTTTTATTTTGATATTATTTGCTTAGGAAGCAACATTATTCAAATGTTTTTTCAAATAATTTCAAATTTTCATTTGTAGGTTATGGAGCTTTGTGGCATTAATTCTTATAGAATTAATGAAAAAAACCAAGGAAGGTGACTGGATTCTCAGATCAGTCTTTTGTTTAAAAAAAATAAAAATATTTTAAGTTCTGGGGTACATGTGCAGCATGTGCAGTTTTATTGCATAGATAAACGTGTGCGATGGTGGTTTGCTGCACCTATCAACCCATCACTTAGGTATTAAGCCCAGCATGCATTAGCTATTTTTCGTAATGCTCTCTGTCTCCCACCCTATCCCCCAACAGGCTCCAATGTGTGTTGTTCCCGTCCTTGTGTTCATGCGTTCTCATTGTTCAGCTCCCACTTGTAAGTGGCAGTGTTTGGTTTTCTGTTCCTGCATTAGTTTTTTGAGGATAATGGCTTCTAGCTCCATCCATGTCCCTGCAAAGGACATGATCTCCTTCGTTTTTATGGCTGCATAGTATTCTACGGTGTATCCATCTATCCAGTCCATCACTGATGGGCATTTGGGTTGATTCCATGTTTTTGCTATTGTGAATAGTGCTGCAGTGAACATATGCCTGCATGTATCTTTGGAATAGAATGATTTATATTCCTTTGGGTTTATACCCAGTAATGGGATTGCTGGGTCAAATTGTATTTCTGGTTCTAGATCTTTGAGGAATTGCCACTGCATCTTCCACAAAGGTCAACAATAAGTTTTAATATCTAGTGTAACCAGTATTTAACCATTGTGTTTACAAACTATAGTGTTAATGAAATCATTTTCATTGTTACCAAATCAGTTTATATGATGACACATTTTAAGTTCAAACACAAGATCTGGAACATCTCTCTTTCCCACTGGTGAGGCTTCCTGTTGGAGTGAGGGGGATGTAGGGCGAGCAAACACTTGTGTTTCCTAATTTATTTCTTTGTATAATTATCATTTGCAAAATTTTCACATAATCCTAAATCGAACACTTATGGATGGTTATTCTGTGAGTTTGTGCAGCTGCATCCCCCTTTTATGTATGGATTATTTGTTAACGTAGTGTTCATATATTGCTAGCACTTTTGTTCATACTTGTGTAGAGATCGTTGTGATTTCCTTAAAAATAGATGTAAAAATCATCACTGTTCTCAAGCAAGGAAAACTTTGAAAGGTAAATACCAGTAGATCTAATATCTCAAGAAGGATCTGCTTTGTTCTGATGGCTGTCTGAGAATATCAGTGAGTAGTTGGGATAGGGAAGACTTGGAACACAGAGTAACTAAGGAGAAAAAGAAGTTATTGGTATATGTTATGAAAAAGGGAATAGCTTTTAATTGGATTTTTTTCTTTTTTTCACTGTACAGAATTTACGAAATATCTATGATGTCCTCAAGTGGGTCTTTACTATTTTTCCTCAATTCTGCCTTGGTCAAGGACTGATAGAACTCTGCTATAATCAGATCAAATATGACCTGACCCACAGCTTCGGCATTGATTCCTATGTGAGTCCCTTTAAGATGGACTTTCTGGGCTGGATCTTTGTGGAACTGGCCACGCAGGGCACAATACTTCTCCTCTTGAGAGTTCTGCTACACTGGGACCTTCTGCAATGGCCAAGGTGGGTTCCTAAGGGCTCATTCTCAGCTGCACTTACTCCTACAAAAAGAGAGGAAGAGAAAAATTCATCCTGGAGGTTGTAAAATAAAAACTGTATCTGATCAGCATTATACATAGTTCTAATGCGTTAAGATTTTATTATTTTTTACATGTTGATTGGTGTGAGTTACTGACACCAGGAAAGAAAATTTCAAAAGATCAGGGGCCACGCTGTGAGATAATGTTTCCAGTTATTTGTCTCAGTGTATTTTCACTTTGAAATGGCTGAATTTCTCTGTTACGTTGAAGCAGCTAAGGTCAATTTGGTTGATACCGCAATGATTATTTTTGCGACTAAATGCCAAGAACTCTGGGAGCAGGAAGATAGGAAAATTCAGTACAGATTTCTGTATGTCCTTTGCTGGATCTTGTTGCTTATGCTGCTGTATTCTCATCTTTGTCAGGTGAGGTCGAAAGTCAGTAGCACGGGGCATATGTAGACATGTAGATGTATAATGTGGTTTATACACATGCATGCACACACATGCACACACATGCATTCCTACTACTATAAATAAGATTTAATGTGGCCTTGCAAGAATATCTGAAATATTGTCGGATAAGACATTTGAACTACATAAGGAAGCAATGTGTTTTGCTGTGTAGGGTCCACAATGGTATGGCTTCCCCTCCATACCCAAGTGTCTGGGTTCATTGGCCTGCTCTTTCCAAGAACTATGTATTTCCTTCTGACCTCTACTTGAGGGAGGGATCCTTTTTGGAGAAATTACCAATTAAGACCATGTCACTAGAAAATCTATTAAGGATTATAAAGACACATGATTAATGATTTATGGTGATCCCCTCATAGAATTATTTTTCCTTTCAGCCATTTCCTGACATATTTTGTTACATAACCCCTTTTAATAAAGGAAAGTAGGCACAATTTTGAATATAAATCCCAATGTGCTTTTGAATTGGCCACGTCACCCTGGAGTCTGCAGATTTCCAATAGCTGAATGAACCTGGAGTAAAATACGGAGTGCCTTTTAAACATAATTTGTTCTTTGATGTCCCTTACTAGTTTAGTCTATTTTAAAAACCTATAATGTAGGATCCCCCTTGGCAGATTTCAGGGTACTGCATTTTCCTATAGTATCAAAAGATTTTTCTTTAAAGAAAAAAATCTGTATTACCTTTACTTTCTGGAGTTGTAAGTATAAATTGAATTGTATTTTAGAATAATGTCCTTGTTATCCACAGTAAAGAGTCAATTTTTTTCTCTACATGAAAGTTACAGAGCAAAGAAATTTAAGTGAATTTAGACACTAGTTGCTTACTACCGTTTTATGGATAACTGTCATAATAACTGCATGACCCAGTGAATTCACTTTTAAAACCCAGATCTAACTAAACCACTAATCATTGTTTGAAAGGTAAAGCCCAAGGTTCTTAGCAAGCTCCCCACCCGCCTGTCAAGTGTGGTGCCTTCTGCTCAGTGAAGGTGTTTGTGATCCCCCTGCCATTCCCACAGGGATATTTGTCGCCCTGACTCTGGGGCTGGGCTGATGCCTTCTCAGTGTTTCTGTTACTCCCCCTTTCTCTATTAGGGCACATCTATGTTGCTTTATAGTATTGATATGCGACTCATAATTGAATCTTGGAAGAAAATAGGAAGACCCTGCCCTGGGAATGGATAGATCCTGCCTTCCCAGCCTGAGCAGGGCCCCTGTCACCTGCACCCACTGCTGGACGTGAGTGCTGAGATCCCACTTCCTTGCTGTCCTTCCCTAACCTGCGCTGGCTCCTGTCCAGCTGTCCCACTGTCCTGCTGCTGGCCTTGGGTTGTTTGCCAAGAATTCAGGTTTCCATTAGGACCTGGACCCTAGTTCCTGCCTTTTCTGTCTCCTGCCTGGAGCTGCACTTTTGCTCCTTATACCCTAGGTGCTGGCTGGGTTGGAACAGCCACACGGTTCAGATGTTAGATATGCTGCATATCTGGAAAATCCTGCTATACCTAGGTCCCATCTGAATTCTTCCTATTCAATATAGAGATCATTGGTTAGTCATTTTGAGTTAGAGGATACCTAAGTGGCACATTGCTGGGCATAGTTGGATTCCTGTATTAGGACACTGGATTGTTATGAGTGGGTGGATCAGAAGTAACCTCAGTCAATTGTCTCCACCAGCCAGAAAGCCTTGAGGAGATGTAAATGAATGTGCACACCTGGGCCTCTTCCTGGAACTCTGCAGTGAGAAGCTCTGGGGATGAGACCCAGGAGCTGTTCATAAAGCTTCCCCAGTAATCCTCCTGAGGAGAGGATGAGCAAGCTAATGTGGGTTGCTGTGAGTACTGCTCTGCCAGGCAGGAGGGAATACAGGTGGCACAGCTTCCTGTTGGAGTGTGAAGACCTCTGGAAGTCCAGGACAGGGGGAAGGTCAATAAACACACCATCATCTGGGGAAGGGAAATAACATTCAAGCAGAAAAGTGTAAAATTCAATGAATTTTCACAAATTGATCACACTCATGTAACCCCCTCTCACTAATAAACTGAATACTACCAACACTTCAGATGGCCTGTTGTAAACTTCTCCATCAATAGCTGCACCCTAGGTAACTGTAATCCTTATTTTTATTGATTCATTTTTCATGCCTTTGAACGTTATATAAATGAGGTCATATAAGATAGAATTCTGAGTGTCTAGCTATTTTTCTCATCATCTATGTTCTGTGTAGAATAAATTATATATTTGTCAAATGGTGATTTCAGGTGTGGAAAAATAATAAAGAAAAGTTGCCAGGGATACTGGGAGCTTGCCATGGATATTGGATTTTATTTTTGATACCTTTTTTATTTTGTAATAATTTAATAATCAGAAGAAGTTGTAAAATTATTATCGAATGTTGCTAATGTACCTTACACCTAGCTTCTCCCAGTGATAATATAATGATATACTACATGGCAATTTACACTGTCAAAGCCAGGTAACTGATTTTGGTTATGATACTAACTCAGTGGTTATCATTAAAATATAATCATTAAATATATTTTAAATGATTAATATTTTAAATATATTTTAATAGTTAAAATGGCATATTATAGTTTGCAGGGGAAATTGAAATTTATTTGAAAGTCAAATGTGTCAGATTGAAAATTATAAAGATTAAAAAGTGAGCAGCTCAGATTTAGAGAAAATAAGAGTTGAAAATGAAATTTGCATTACTCTGATAGATACTTATTGAATACTTTTTGCAAAGTATTGTGCAAGTGCTGGTTACATAATCCTTTTATATGATTCAACATATACTATAAACTTACAATGTTTGAGTACTTTTATATGCAGTCTAATTTGTTAAATGGCTCTTTTAGTAAAAGTGCTTATTAGGTAAATGCCTTATAATAATTTTGTGATAAGCTATTTTGACATTTAGTATAAAAGTCTGGCATGACTTTATTATTCATAAAATTCAAAACTAGCTGTAGTTTAGTGTCAATCCATTTCAATATCTTTTAGGAACATGTATATTTCATTTATGTTAGACAATAAAAATGGATTCTTGCCTGATAATCAGGATGGCAGAACTGGGGTGCTCTGGACAAAGTTGATTGTGCAGAAGTCCAAAGGCAGTATCTTCCATTATTTACAAATCTCTGACCCTTTTCCCTCTTCTAGACTATTCCGGTATCATTTGCCAGGTGTGAATTCACTCTGATTTCATCTTCCCAGGGGTCAATCTACTCTCCAAGGCATAGTCAAATCTTCCAAGGATATAGATGTTGAAAAAGAGGAAATGAGGGTGTTTGAAGGAAGGACCAGTGGAGACATTCTTGTGTTATACAACCTTAGTAAACACTATCGACGCTCTTTCCAGAAGATTATTGCTGTGCAAGATATTAGTTTGGGCATACCAAAAGGAGAGGTAATGAAGCTTCTATTTTTAATCTTCTTCTGTTGTGAACCTGTGCAACTCTAATTGCTGATCTGCTTGTGTTATTCTCAGAATATTTGAAATCAGAGCCAAAAATAGCCTTCAAATTTTGGAAATTCCTACAAAATCAGTAGGAGCAGAACCAAAAGAAGGTCTGTTGACTATTTCATAGTAAAAACTTGGCTGATTGATAGGATTTATTTCATTTTATAATTTTAAAAATTTCATGTGATTGCATAGTTTTAATTATGACTTGGGCTATGGGATAACTTTTGCTGAGGAAATTTTTCTTTTAATCTAATTAAGGACCACTTTTATCTCTTACTGAGACATCAATACTCTAAGTGTCCAATTAAGCAGGTCTGGCAAAATGCTACTCTGAAAAGGTAAAGAGCACTCACCCACCATAGCAATAGCTCAGGAAGTTTTTTCTCACAGGTAAGACATTAATTATAGTTATAATGTTCAATCAGAACTGACAGAAGTCATATAAATTGTTCCTGATTTGAGCTTAATGTGTAAAGGGAAATCAGTTCTGGAAGTGATTGCCTTCAATTAACTGTTAAAAATAAAAAAGCACCTTGCATTCATATTGTTCCCAGCTCCTGAGAAATTCAAAATAGGTTATATTGTTATCTGATTGGTATTTATGTTCTACTTGTGATCTGACAGTAGGTGTCTCAGATATGAGTATTCTGAGGTAAAGAGAAGCCAAGAAACCAATCTGAAGTAATGCAGGCATATTCTTACTCTCTGAACTATGATTTCTGGTAGACGAGGACAAAATGTTAAGAAAGAATTTTTTTTTTTTAGTAGTTGTTAGCTTCTACTCTAAGACTGGCTATTCAATCTTACCCATCTTATTGAACTATTTTTTTAACCCTTCCTTTAAAATTCATGATTATTTAGAGTTTTGCCAGTACCTTTCCATAGTAGTTTGAAGCAAAGTAGTGTGGGGGGACCAAAGTTCACTGGAAATCAACTGACAAAAGGCAGATTAACAGGAAAAAAAACCTATGAATTTATTTGATTATAGTTTTACATGCTACAAGAGCAGCTCAGATTTAGAGAAAATAAGAGTTGAAATGAAGATCGAAAGATACAGGGAAACTGTCTATATTTATGCTTAGGTTCAACCAAATATGGACAGCCATGTAGAAATATGGCTGGACAAAAAGAGTATGACCCAATTAATGCTCTTAGACTGAGAGGGGAAGCCCAGCAAGGCCTCTCTGTTTAGATGTTTTTTTTTTTTTTTTTTTTTTTTGAGTTACTATCTAGATGTTTTATTTTTATTTTTTAAAATTTTATTTTAAGTTCTAGGATACATGTGCAGCACATGCAGTTTTGTTACATAGTTATAAACGTGTGCCAAGGTGGTTTGCTGCACCTGTCAACCTATCACCTAGGTATTAAGCTCCACGTGCATTAGGTGTTTATCCTGATGCTCTCCCTCCCCCCATCCTCCTGACAGGCCCCAGTGTGTGTTGTTCCCCTCTCTGTGCCCACGTGTTCTCACTGTTCGGCTCCCACTTACAAGTGAGAACAGGTGGTGTGTGGTTTTCTGCTGCTTCCTTCTGGGTGTGGGGCAGGACCCTCTCTGGAATGCAGGTCTGTCTTATGACCTACAGTCAAACAAGGTAGGTCAGATAACTTCTTCAGGGCTAATTTTTGCACTGAAAAATACGTAAGGGGGGAGAAGTTAGGGTAATATTTTTAGGTTTTATGGCTGGCTTTGAGGAAAAGAGATTCTAGTTTCTATGACCGCCTCAGGGGAGAAAGAGGGGCCGGAGACAGCAGGGCAGGGAAGGTCAGAGAAAAACTTTCGATTCTGAGGCTGCCTTTGAGGCCTTCACTTTGGGGTATTATTTTCTGAGTCCCAACAGGGCTAAGAGAGAAACTTGTAAAACATTGATAAGAATGATGCTCCAGGTATCTTAAATGATCCAAGATGCCATTTAAAGTTGGATTTTACTCTCTTAAGCTCTTATAAGCGTTACAGTTTAATGACCTAGATGGACAGTGCTATGCAAGAGTCTGTGGAAAATACAGAAATGACTGAGATACAGTCCTGTGTTGTTTAACAATGGGGATATAGTCTGAGAAATGTGTCATTGGGTGATTTCATTATATAATATACTTTCATAAACCTGCATGGCATAGCCTATGATACGCCTAGGCTGTATGGTGTAGCCCATTCCTCCTACGCTACAAATCTATATAGCATGTGCTGAATACTGTAGGCAATTGCAACATAATGGCAAGTATTTGTGTATCTAAACATAGACGAGGTATAGTTAAAATATGGTATTGTCATCTTGTAAGATGACCATTGTGTATGCAGTTCGTCATTACCTGAACTGTCATCGACTATATGTCCTTCTCCATTTAGAAATTAATAATCAATTAGGAAACAAAATATCATAAGCATATACTATGTTACATGGGAGCATGAGCATTGTCCCAAGGCGGGGACAATGATATAATAATATAGTATTTTTTGGAAGCACAGCATCATAATAATTATTATCTTCCCAATTTCATTTTTGTATATATTAAAGTATTTTCTAAAAATAACTGAAAGGTACGTGAGTGGTATTGTCTTCAGTGCTGTCAGTCCAGAGAGGGTGGCTGGGTAGGCAGGAAAGGAAAGGTGGGAGGATAGGGTACGTGGGGAGAACTTTATTAAAAAGGTGGTTTATAGCTAAGCCTTAAAGCATTGGTAGAATTTGGATAGCTGATGGTGGTGTACCCTGGGACATGGACAGGGTAGGCCTGGAGGGAGATGGACTCACATTGCAGATAGTGGGAGAGATGCAGGGCAAGTGGGGAAAACATGGTAATTGAAGCAGGTAGCAACTCAGGGGAGTTGTGAAATCCAGAGGTCCAAAACAGGGTTATGTGATGGTTAGGTGATGCTTGGTGGCAGAAAATCCAGAAGCAGTCACTTTCCAAGATTTGAGAAGCCAGGAAGCCAGTTTGTATCCGTAGATCGCAGCTCCTAGCCATAAGAAAACACCTGTCTTAGAAGGAGATTGACAGAACCAGAGAGACACAGTCACCAAGGTGGACTCTCAGGCACAGTATATGATGAGGCACATGATAGAGACAAAGTGTAGAAAAGACAGCAAGAAGGCCATTTTTCACGTTGGCTGTAAGGCGAGATTGGATCAAGAACTGAGTTGACTTTATGCTCAATGTCAGAATATAGAATTAATGTCAGAATTAGCCTAGACTCTGAGTTAGGAGTGAATTTACAGGAATTTACAGCCTCTTCAATGGAAAAAGAAGATACATAAGAAAGCTATGAGCACTACACACACACACACACACACACACACACACACACACGTATATACAGTAGAAGATGGAATCTTTTAAGAAAATACTTTAGGCTGGGCGCGGTGGCTCAAGCCTGTAATCCCAGCACTTTGGGAGGCCGAGATGGGCGGATCACGAGGTCAGGAGATCGAG